TATTTAAAAAAAATAAAAGATAACAATTTAATCGCTGAGGGAAAACAACTGTTTCAGATATCTTAAAATAACAGGTTTGAAAGCTAAGCGTTTCTTTTACACTCTTTAGGTCTTTCTATGTATTTAATGCACTGATTTTATTTGTATGTATAAAAAATATTGATTTTAATGTTAGAACTTATTTTGACCTTAATAAAACTTCTGAGTTTTTAAAAAAAATATCTATACTAGAGAGTAAGTGAATTCTTATTATTTTTACCGATTCATCTATCAATTTAACAATATAATACCTAATTTAAAAAAAAATAAGTCCATATTATTTTTAGCATGCATAATGGATATGAATAGTTATAGTTAAAATATTTCATTACTTTTTTAGACTTGGAAAGATGAGAATTAATATTTATATTTTATTTCAGTTTTCTTCATTATGAAACATAAAATTAAATTATTATAAAATGGAGTTATACAATATCGACAAATTCACAATATTATCTAAAATTGTAGATAGATGGTTGACTATTAAATGGTTTCCGTATCACTGGTTTTTACAGTTTTTAAGAAATCACTATATTTTTATACAGAACTGTATGAAATTTGAAGCCTTAATTACTCGTAAATTTTACAATTATCAAATTTTTTTTTGTTGATAGATTGAGATCACTAAAAGTTGAATGAATTCAATAACGATTTATTCTTTATAAGTATAGGTTATTAATTTGGAAGTGATATAGTATTATACTTAGATAATTTTTATTAAAAATTAAATATATTTTTAATATAAAATAATAGTTTTAATGAAGCAAAAGTTTTCATACATATTCGTATTATTTTTAGTTTTAATCATATATAATCATACATAATATTTCATCATAACTAATCAAATTAGTTATAGATATATATATATATATATATATATATATATAGTTAAGTTTTTTCTACCTACATTTTATTAGACTATACCTTTGACCTACTACACATTTTATAATTATGTATGTAACGTCGGAAAAAATAAAAATAAATATAATTTATTTATTTTTACATTTTTTGACTGAACATTTCAACCGATCTCCTCTTCTATTATCTAAAATATGTCAACAAAGCAATTGAATGTATTACACATTTTTAGCTTTATTTAAAGGTTTGAGTCAGTGGTTAGACAAACTCAGAAACTCCAAAGTTAAATTTAATTTTGTCAGAAAAAAATTGTTTCAACTATTTCAATAAATTTCTTAAAATATAGAAAATTCAAATATTCCTAATTTTTTTTTTATCATAGTTTGTTAGTAATTTTCGCTTATGTTAAATGTCATTATTAATGGAACTCCGCTAACGATATCGATTTTGCAATTCGAGGTGACCGTAGCGAGTGAGGAGTTCGCGAACGCGATAAGGGGAGTATTTAATGCCTCCTTCCTGAACATTAGGGCTATACATGAATAGGGAATGTTTTGTTCATTGAGAACAATGGCCTGATAGCGAACCATCTCTATACAAATGAGTGTTAACATGTCACTTCTATCTTCAATTCATTCTGTTATGGCTCTGAATTTCTCTGAGCATTCGTAGAGCTAATAAATATTGGCGAGAAGGTCAAACAAATCAGTTATCTTCACATATTATTTTTTTTTTAATTTAATTTAAATCTTGACTCGTTCTTAAGAAATAATAATAGTGAGGATTAGAGTTCGCAGTCAAATATCGGCAGGCTCCCTCCATATCCATATTCAAAAACCTCCTATTCCAATTATGTACCAAAAACAGTCAGATGCCTACTAACTATTGACATTATAAGTGTATTTCATATCAATCATATATTCATATGATAATACTGTTCTTTGCTAGGAATAGCACATGCAGCAATTTGCAAGACCAAGATCAGGACCGATAAAAAAAATCGATTTTTCGAATAAAAATTAAGGAAAAATAGTTACTAATACTTGACAATCTTAGTTGCTAAACGAAGATACAACCAACATACTTTTGCATTTAACTCTACTAATTTTTCATTCGGGCTTAGTTAGGTTTCTTCTATCTAAAAAATTACAGTAATATCTCTATAGTAATAAGCTCATAAGTAACTGCAAGACTCTAGTGCAAGACCAAGACCATGACCTAGACTGAGTTGGCAAGACCAAGACTGAGTTTGCAAGATCAAGACTTGTCTCGGTCTCGCATTTGTGCAACACTGGACTCAATACATCTAATATTTTTTTCTTATATACAATTAAACGCCTGCAGTTATATTGTATATTTACATATTATCCAGCATTTACATAATTAGATTTATGCACAGATGCAGCTTTCATTTTTTTTGAGAAAAACGTTTTTATGAGAAGAATTTAATTAATTTTCCTCATTTTTTCTTCTTCATTTCTTGAAGTGTATATTTATGCTGTTCTGCCATTATATATAGTTTTAAATGGTCTGTTCATAGTTTTAAGTGTTTTGTACATAATGTTATCTATGTTCATTTATTGTGCAAATTTTTAGAATAGAAGAAGTATTTTCTTTTTTTACAATTTTGTTATTTTAAAAGGACTTTGTCCCATGATAAATTTGTTTTTCTATCTATCTATCTATCTATATAGATTGTCTGACTGGTTCAATGTAATAGTATATTGGATTAATACTCAGCTGCACTTCCTTTTCTAGATACTCCATGAGCAGCGTCAATATTTTGTGTGGATTAATTATAGAATACTTTTATTCATATGCCTTTATAATGTCCATCCTCAACATCCAATTTGCTCTGTTATGTATAAAATTATTTTCAGTGCGCTTAGTATTATTTACTTGAATTAGGGTCAACACCCCACCACTGCCTCTATAATAACTATCATATTATCAAGTCCTGCAGTGTCCTTTGATGCTATTAGAAACTTACTTCGACATTAAGGGGATCCTCTCTGCACCCTTTTGGTCAGCTACCAGAGCCCATGGGGGCGGATGTCACGTGATACGGGAGCGACTTCCGGCCATCTGGACTGGTATATACTCACTTTTTGCCCCCGCCGATCGAAGAGGCTGTGCCGCCGCTTAACGAACCGCTCGTGAACGGCGCCTCCATTGATTCATAGCTTCCGGATCTCGCTAAACGGCCATTTAAAGCAGACACTTGGGGGTCATTTAGGAGGTGTTGGGCTGTTCTCTCATGGTCTGCAAAGGGTATTGCATACGGTTAGGGGTGCCGCCTATGAGACACCCAATGGAATTAGGGAATGAACTATTGTTCACTGTCACAATTAATGTGCTGTTCATAGTTCGCTTTAGGTTAGATTAATTATTTTTTTATTGGTTAGTAAAACTTATTAATCTTGAAGAAGGAAATAATTGACATCATAAGATAAGCATAATTAAAAAACAGTACAAGACTATTTAATTGCCTTTTATATACTTGCCATCACAGGCGGATTTACCGGGGGGAGGGGAGGCTTTCGGGCTGAAGCCCCCACCCAAAACGGTAAAATATAACCATGTTTTATAGAAAAAAATATAAAAATATATCTCTTATAATATTATTTTTCGTGTAATTACATTTAATAGGACTTCAAGAATTACTTAAACACCATTTCATATAGATTGTTCATTACTTTCTTCTTTTTTTTTCAAATTAATTATGGTAATATATATGAAAAAAAATCTTTCGGGCTGAAGCCCCCCCAAAATTAAATCCTGGATCCGCTAGTGCTTCCCATTCTATTTATTTATATGATTACCATCTCTATGTATATAATCTTTGTGAGTTTAAACTAATGTCATAAAGTGGCCAAGTAAGTTTTAATCCATTCATATCATCAACTAATCCTTCTACTTATCGCGCTGTAGAGTTAGGCGAAAATATTTCGATAGACAATTAAATTTCGTCATGATGTTTTTTTTTTGTAATTAAAAATTCAAAACAATTTTTTATTTATTACTAGCAAGTTCTGAAATTTGTTAGTCAACTGCTATAATATTGGATATTAGTACATTACTTATTTATTCGGATCTTATTATTTGGAAATAAGTTTGAAAGATTTTAGAGAAAAATCCTCCGCGCCATAACCGGAGCGATCTGGGAGCATAAAGAGATGCTTACAGAAACTGGCCAAAAGAGGGTAAGATGGACTGGAAATCTAGCAAGTAGCATTCCATCTGGAAGCCTATAAGAATGAATGTCTCAATAGTAGGTAAAAGACAGATGGATGACAAATGTAAGGACAAAAAGCAGATGGATAGACAGAATCAACAAAGATGCAACAGAGTTGCGTGTAGATAACTAAAAAGAAATAGCCTAAGATAGGAAGAGATAGAGCAGGTTTGATAAGGCGGCAAAAGGTCTACAAGATATGTAATGACAACTGAAAAAAAGATAATTTTTTTCGACACGTAATGATAAAAAAAAAACAATAATTTTATTGTTTTGAAACTTTTATAGGTCAGTACTGACCAAAATAAGAAACATGTAAATGACAGACAAATATAATTCAAAGGCAGCTACTGGGCATTGTTTGTTGTTTCCAAAGAACATAATTCGAATAAATAGATAACTCAACTAATATCCATTGTTATAGCATAGTGATCAAATAGTTTTGTTTTCAAAATATTCATTTTGTCGAGAGAAGTTGCAATTTATATTTTTATGGCAATCGTTCCAATCAAAAGTTCTCCGGAAAATTGTAGTCGCCTCTTTTTATGTTTCTAATGTTACGCGACACACTGACCTAATTTTCAAGACAGATTGACTCAAAATTCAAATCCACTTACTCAAGCTCTATCTACTGCCACAAATACTTATAATCCGTCCAGAAGATTGCTGAGGCGCTGGCCAAAAAACCTACTGCATTGAGCTACTTGGTATCTTATTATTTTCACGTTATACTTTTTTGTTATTGTTTTAGTTTTTTTGGGGGGGGGAGGGGTTAAGGCGTTTTAAAAGAGATTTTAATTTTTTTAAACAAGTCGTTTGATTTCAAGAAACCTAACACTAACTTATTGTGTATTCGCCATCCCTCAAAATGTTTGCTATTGGAGTTGTAAGTTGTAAGAACTATTTAACTTGTAATTTAATAGTATTTTATTTTCTATTTATATATTTTTTTTTTTTTGTTCTGTTCTCCATGATATGGTCCTTCATATATATATTTCTTAATATCACATTTGATCATTATTGATTATTGATTATTGATTGTATGTAGCAAATTTATCTTGACATAAATATGTATCTTATGAGTAATAAATAAATAAATATTTAAAAAAACGTATTCGTTTATAATTGTATGATTTTCTATTTTATCTAAAGAAGTACTATATATATTTTTTAACTCATATATTTTTGTCCATTTTTAGTTTTGTACTAGCCACAAAGCACGGAGTTCGCTTTTGATGTTGGAGAATTGGATGATGGAGAGAGACCGAGAGCAGGATGGAATGGAATTAAATTTGCGGGACAAACAAAGAAGACGGCCCTCGACAGAGCAGACCACTCAGTCAACATGGAGTCCTCCGTTCCAGGGTACCAATGGAACCATATTACTAATTTCCAATAATCCTCCCGACCATGGTTTTGATGGAGTATCTTTTCCAATTTCGGGGGTGTCTGCCAGTGATTTTATTTATAGGCCGATCAGTATTGATTTACCATAAAATGAGCGAAAGCATACTTGATATTTGCATAAAATATTGCAGTCTTGTATAAAAATCAGGCAATATCAATATGATAATATATAAAGCTGAAGATTATTTTTTCTCCTTTGGACATGATAATTTCATTTCCCTTCTTATTAGAGAGAAGTGGGTTGTAGCTGCTACTTCTCTCCACCCGCATATGAAGGTTTTGAAGTAAGGATGTTACTCTTTTTACGCGTTAATTGTAGAACTCTCTGCGTTAATACGTAGAGACCTGTTTCCTTCAATAGCTTTATTTATTTGTTCATTTATTATTTTGTTCGATTACCCTCTACTTCGCCATTACTGACACATGGAAGGGGATCGTTCTAGAGGTACAACATAACCTATTCTAACCAGAGTGAGAAGGTCGAAATTCATTCCGTTAGTCCGCCCTGTGTATTTAGCCCTCAGTTTTGCAATCTTGACAAATTTCGAATCAGTATTTTAATTAAATAACACGTCGGGGGCGGGGTGGCCGAATGGGCTAAAGCGTGTGCACAGCACCTCGAGTTGCCCGGCAACCAGATATATGAAGTTTTGAGAGTCAAAAATAAGTACGAGTTCGCGTCCCGGTGTCGGAGGGGATTTTAAAATTCCCCGCCCTCACCCCCCGGCCATCCCTTATAGCTTAAACGGCGCGGTGGGGAAGAACAAAGGAAAAACAAATTAAATAACGTTTCCCTGAGTTAGGGCTGCGGTTGTCGAGCGTGTTAAGACGCCTGCAAAATACTCTCAAGTAAGATGAAATCTCGTTGCATGGATTTAATAGCAAAAGGATTTAAAAATAAATAAATAAGTGCAGGCGTTACTCGATTGTCCAGACCAATGCAGCGCGTGTTCAATTCTCGAATGACGACGATATCATCTCCACCTAGAGATTCGCAGAAGTGTGAGAGATTCCTGTGTTCACACACACCATAGCTCCTGCTCCTTCAGGTTGGGGGTTTGGCATAGAGTTGATAATCATATCCCAGAAAAAAAGATAGAGATTTCTGCAATGAGCAGGCAACCATTCTTCAAGAAATTACCTGATGAACAGTGAAAGATTGTGATCGCGTCGAGTTATTGTAAAGTCAACGAGCTCCCCGGATATCTTCAAGAAAATTAAACGACCATAGCTTTCGCCTATAACAGGTCAAGCTGCTAGACTCATTACGGAAGCTCAAAAGTCAAAAGAGGTTAGAGATAGAAAAAAAGGCGTACCGCTCTTGACTGTAGAGGCTGCCTGAAAATATTTTTATGCAAGGTATAGTAGTCAGTGAAATTTGTGTGATGCAAGCACAATTTTTAATAAGAAGCCCTCCAACTGATAAAACTTTCTATGATTTTTTTTGTTTTACATGGAGTGTATGTTCATATTGCAAAACTACTAAGTGCGTTAATTATAATAATGAAAATATAAATAATACCCAGGATTAAGCAAATCTTCTAGGTATGGAAGCTGGGTATCAATAACCGGCTAAGTTCGAAAGCAAATTAATTAAGTTATACAATTTTAGTCAAGCAAAATATTATCGCCAAACTTTCGTTACTTTATGACCAGTTTTAGAAATCAAAGCCCAAGAAGTAAGCAATTGATGAGATGCTTGTATAATTAAATATGGCGAACCCCTCGGAGACTATATAGAGGGGACAGGTGGACATTTTTCACCCGGTTATATAAAATAAAACGAAACGAGGAGGTGCAATAAATCGCAGCTACATAAAAGATGCAACAGGGGCTTCCTCTCATGCAATTCATGAGACTCCCTCCCCCCACCTCCGAATCCTCTCGGGTTGACATTTTTTACTTCCTCTAATAAGAAATATCGATTTATACGAATACGATATTATCGAGAATCCAATATCCGAGAAGGAGAAATAATCTTCATTTCAGAAAACACAATCATAGGAATAGAAAATGAGGGAACATTCAAATCGATAAACTTGAAGAAATCCTGATAAAATAAAGTTTTTAAACTGCTCAGAAGTCTAAGCTTAGGGGACATGATCCAAAGATTTGAGAAATTCTTCTTAAACCTCGAAGCATGATAGCTCGGTAAGTAAGGTACTGTATTATTAAGGTTATTCATTAACATTAACCATGGATTAATCCTCGGATCAGTAAAACCTGGAGTACATCCAGGCTCCATTAACTGGTTACTCTTAATTAAATAATTAGTTAGGGGAAAAATCTAGCGGAAACGTCGAGCAGTTTCTTGTAGTTTCAGTCTCGTATGAGGATTCCAAGTGAGATTTTTGCCCAGGTGGAGTCCAAGATATCGTATTTGTCCAACAGGAATACGTTGGATGTTATTAACACTAAACATACCATAACGGGTCAAATGACCCATTTTGAACTTTTCTATTGAAAATGCACGTATAATTTTATTGCGTTTGGACATTTGACTTCATGACTTTTTCTAAGTAATTAATGTACAGTTATAAAAATATTTTTGTTTTGTTTATTCTGAGTAATCCTTGTTGTATACCGATATCTACCACAACAGGTCATTTGACCCGGAGAGAATTTTTTTGTTTTATGAGATTATCTAGTCATATTTGTAGTCAGTAAGTTGCACATTCTTCCAAAGACTGTTGCGTAAAGTAGTTCAACGAAAATAGCTAAGAATAATTTCAAGAAAATATCAAATTTTAGATTGAAAATAGCTTTTTAGTGTAAGAAAAAGTGGCAAAAATTGAAAATCTTGGTAAGTACCTAGCTTATATTTTATTTTGATAATAATAAGGCTTAGCGAACCCGAAGGTTCGATGCCGACATCACCAATCTTGTTACACACCTCCCTCCACCGTTCGCCGTCCAAACCCAGTCCCTTCAGATCGGCTTTAATGCAATCCTCCCATCTTCGCTTCGGTCTACCCCTCGGACGCTTACCATTCGGCACAGCAAATATTAACCTTTTAGGAATTCTCTCGTTACTAAGCCCAACAACTTTACAAGCCCATTTGATTCGCCGCGATGAAATTACCTCAATTATATTACCCGGATACATCTCACGCAATTCGGCGTTGTGTAACCGTCTGAACTCTCCGGTTAACTCATCCTTTTTCGGTCCGAATATTCTACGCAATACTTTATTTTCAAAAACCTTAAGACGCTGCTCATCCCTTAATGTAAGCGGCCAAGTTTCGCATCCATAAAGAACTGTAGGTAAGATAATTGTTTTATAGATTCTAATTTTTAAGTTTCGGGACAAGAGGCGCGAAATAAGTAGTTTTGTCACAGAAAAATAACAAGCATTCCCCGCCTTCAGTCTAACCTTAATCTCTTCTTCAATTTCGTTTTTTCTAGTTATCGTAGAACCTAGATACCTAAATTTATCTACCTGTTCAAACATATTACCATCTATATCGATATCACCAGTAGTATCGCCATTTTTGCAGCTAACCATATATTTTGTTTTATCCATGTTTATTTCGAGTCCTAGTTCTTTCCCGGCTTTCATTAACGTTGTCGTATTCAGTTTTATAGTTTCAACGTCTTCGCTTAACAGTACCAGATCATCAGCATAGCCCAGCACGGATGTTGTCCCGCCCAGATCCAACCCTTTCTCGGTTCGCATTACCTCCCTAATGGCATGTTCTAATGCCAAATTGAACAGGACAGGCGAAAGAGAATCCCCCTGTTTTAAGCCCGAACGAACCTCAAATTTTTCGGACAAATTATTACCGATTCTAACTTTATTGAGTGTCTCCGTCAAGCATATCCTGACTAGATTTACTAGGTTTTTTGGAATCCCCTGCTCGATTAGAATATTATACAATTTCTGGCGGTCAATAGAATCGTAAGCCTTTTTAAAATCTATATACAGCTGGTGAACAATACCGTTATACTCCAATTTTTTCTCTAATATTTGCCGTAAAGAAAATATTTGATCAATAGTCGAACGATTCCGTCTAAATCCGCATTGGTAGTCTCCGATAATTTCCTCGGCGTATTCCGTGATTCGACTGGTTAAGATTAAAGTGAATATTTTATAACATACCGGAAGGAGTGAAATTCCTCGATAGTTATTACAATCCGTCCTCGCACCCTTTTTGTGAATCGGAATAAGAATAGATTCTTTCCATTCTTCAGGTAATTTCTCGTTCACCCAGATCTTTTTAACCAACCGATGTATTTTAGAAACTCCAGCTTCTCCGCATGCCTTAATTAGTTCAGTAGGAATATTATCGATTCCCGCTGCTTTATATGATTTTAATTTTCCGATAGCTACTTCAACTTCCTCTTTAGTTGGTCCTTCTATTAACGGTTCAGCAATCTGGTACTCAGAAGGAGGACACAGATCATAATTTCCCGTATTTAAAATATTGTCAAAGTGGTCCTTAAACTTATTCAATATGTCAACCGGATCGGTCAGAATATTGTTATTATCATCCCTAATTCCAGACGTTACGGGCCCTACATATTTACGTGATCTGTTTATACCTTTGTACATGTCTCTTACGTTATTTTCGATTCTATTAGTTTCTATTTCAATTATTTTATTTTTAAGATACTCCCTTTTTTTATTTTTGAGCAATTTTGTCGTTTCGTTCTTTGAGATTCGGAAGTATTCCAGATTGTCTTCGCTAGGATTATTTAGAGCTTTTAATTTAGCGGCTTTTCTTTTTTCACACATGTTTAAGCAATCTTCATCAAACCACGGTTTGTTATTCTTATTTTCCTTTTTTCCTAGACACGAGTTACCGACCGCTTTAATATTATCTCTGATCTCTATCCATAACTTGTCAATATCCTCGTGGTCCTCGTCAGGAAGCTCTAAAGCTTCAAACCTATTCTTAACATCTAGCTCGAATTGGTTTCTAATTGATGGATTTTTTAATTTTTCCAAATTAAAATTCTCAAAATCGAAACGGTTTTCTTTTCTCTTTTTTA